GGAGTACGTCGTTCATCTACTCTACCTTGTGGTGGGGTTCATCTTGAGGGAGGGACCGGCACCTATGAAGTTCTCTCACTGCGGGGAGGAGACTAGCGAATACCTTGATGGGCCCGATGTTGGTTCTGGTTTTGAGTTTATCCTTGATGTTGATTTGTTGGCTGGTTTAGCTGCAGTGATGGGAACTACTGCTAGTACTGCTGATAGAGGTAATACTGCTGGAATTGGTGAATTTGTTGCGTCTGAATTTGCATTGTCTGGACGCTCTGGACGAGGTCGTTAAACTGGGAATGTCCGACCCCAGGGGAATCACAGAGGGCTCCGAGAACGTGGTGTTCACCTGGGGGAGCGGGACATTCACCTGTTGGGAAGTGTGCAGCACGGAAAGTGATGGAACCCCTGAGACTGTCAAGGGGATGGTGACCTGGCCAATGGTCACCGAGGGACCCTAGGGAGTGACCGTTTGCTGCTCTTGCCCCCCAATGATGTTCATGTAGCTGGAGGATGCCATTGAGACCAAGATTGAAGTGAGATTGAGACTAGGATAGGAATGACCTTTTGATCGTTTCCACAAACGACACCAATTGATGGTGCACGATCTGGATGCTCCTAGCTGTAAGGCAACTCGAACACTTGCCGCCAAGTAGGTCGCTCAAACTGCAAAGAAATGGATGTATCAGAGAACCCTGGGTGGCTAACCTGGCGATGTCGCTCTGATGCTTAAGTCAGTAATAGTATATGCGAGTTGAGAGTTTGAGAATAAGGAGTGCTAGAATGCACTAAATCATGCATATATGGATGCTGGAGTGGTTGATGCCCTTATATAGTTGAGTTGTCGTGGGTCTCACGAAATGACTCTGGGATCCTCGGCCTGAGTAGATGAGATCCGTTTCCGCTTTAGAAGGGGAGTAACATACCGATCAATGAAGTCTATCGTTATCGTCCAATCCGGGCAGGGAGAGGATAAGGCCTGCCATTATGCGGTGTGATCTCGGAAAATTCAGAGTCCGTTGAGAAGCTTTTGGAGTCGATTACATATCACTTCGGTACCTGGACATCAAACTGGTTTTGGTGCCAAGGTGACTTTGTACTGAAGTGCCCAAACACTTAAGCTCCCAAACTACTGATTAGGCTCCCCTTGCCGAGTTGTCATCTTGCTGACAGATCACGTCCACGTGACCTTTACTTATTAGGTCGTGCTAAATCACCCGCCATCAGAATCAGTAGAGATTCCAAATTTGCAAGGATAACCGAGCTCACGCCGAACAGATATAGCACATGGGACCATACTAATGTTAGTCTTTGGTTTTATATGTTTCCTGCTTATCTCTAAATTCTGATAAAAGGTTGGTTTGTTTGGGTTACAATTTCAAGAGTAGCTATGTGAGTTGTAGACATTACATTGGAGTGGTGAACAACATATTTCAGTTTTCTTATATGTAACCAATAATCTTGTTTGAGATGGGGAAAAGCCTGACGCTACTAAGAAGTATTCAGTTTCAGGCATGCCTTCCGGTTTAGTCTTCTTCCCATTAGCGGCAATTTCGGTTATTTTCGAAATCCAACAAACTAAACACTTGGAGTTCCAACGTGACAAGTGTTGATGCTGAAACACCCTTTGTTACTTTTGTCTTATTCGCCTTTTAACACCAAAATCATTTGTCAAATATTGGAGAAGAGAAACTTATTTTCCAATGCCAATATCAGGGTGTTCACCCAATCGGACAACCGGCATTTGCAGGGGCGAGAATGGGACAAACACGCATTTGCTATTACGAATGGGACAAATCAGGGTGTTCGCCGAATAAGAGAATGGGACAAGCATTTCTAGGGTTAATATTGAAAATGTAAAATCAGGGTGTTTCAACAATCAAACATATAAATGAGAAAATAAAATTTTCTTTTCCCACYCCACCCTTTCTCATTCCATCCTTTATTGGCAACCAGACACACCATTGGTGATGATTTCCATTGGCCTTTGGAGTGACACTCCCTATGTATCTATACTACTTTAAAATGCAGGAATTGCCTCAAGAATATTTTTGGAATTTTCTAAGGACAAAATTTACCCCTCTATATTTAAATTTATTGATGAAGAATTAAGGACAAATAGGGTAATCAGTTCTTGATATTAAATGAGTTGAAAATAGGTAATTTAAAGATATTCAATACATTCAATTATCTCTCATTAAATCCAATATTTAAGTTATCAACTTGCATTCATGTTCATTGAATCATATATTTAAGTCATTTTTGTTTCTTCTCATCATTAAGTTCTATTAATTAAATTCGTACTTAATAAATTCCAATAACATAAAAGGTAATACTTTTAAAAAATACCTAGCAAAAATAGTGTTTTCATCTAGGTAGTGGTAAGAAATTAAATTGTTTTGGGTCAAATGGGTTAATCCATGTTGCCACGATTAAATAATAAAATTAAAAAGTAGATAAAATGAAAAATAGAAATTAAAAAAAAATAGAAACATTTTTAATATACATATTAAACAATAATAAGAACGATAAATAACAAGTGTTTTTATTAATGATGGAAATGGAATATAAAATTTAAAACCAATTGGAAATAAAAATATTTTCCTATTCTCTCTCATTAATCCTATATTTAAGATATATTTTTCTCATCATTAAATTCTTGTAATTAAATCCACAATATTAATTTTAATAGTATAAAAATAAACATTTTGAAAAGTTATTTGAAAGCAAAACCATTTTCTTCTCTCCAAGTGGTGGGTAAGCAATTCAACCATTTGGGGTTAAATGTATTAATAAATAATATCATAATTAAATAATAAAAAATAAAATAAATAACTATGAGATGTAAGAAGTATTTTTATTAATGATGAAAATGGAATGCCAAATTCAAGATCTACCTAAAAATGAAATAATGTCATAGTTGAATAATAAAATTTTAATAATAGAAAATACAATTAATCACAAAAATAAAAAAAAGGCAGAGAAATTTTGGGCACATATTTCATGTTATATATTTATAAAAAAATAAAATATTGGGTATATCTTTAATATTGTGCATTCATTATATTGAACAAAAATAAGTTTTATACATAAGAAATAATTTTATCAATGATGGAAATATAATACAAAATTTAATGTCAACCTAGAAATCAAACAATTTTTACTTTTAGATGGTGAGTTAGTTGTTTGAATCAAATGATACCATAAACAAATAAAAATTAAGTGCGATAAGTAAAAAATGTTTTATATAATGTAAATGAAATATATAATTTAAAGGGAAAATTATAGTCAAAGTCGGTTGTATATTTAAAATTCATAGGTTGGTCCAGAAACCAACATGGGACTCTTAGTCCATGTTGGACATAGCAAAAAACCTATACTGAAAATAGGTTTTCAATTTCTCATCCACTCCCTCTATATCTCGTTCTCCCTCCCTTCTCTCTCACTCTCACAGTCATCTTTCGATCTCTCGCTCCCTCTATCTCTCCCACTCTCTTAGCTTTGGTCTGTAGCCAAATCAAAACCTCTCTCTCTCTTTCTCTCTTTCTGTCTCTCTCTCCCCCTCTCTCCCTTTCTCCCCCTCTTTATCCCTCTCCCTATTGTTCTCTCTAAATCTTTCTCATTCTTGTCCCTCACTCTCCCTCTTGGTCAATATCTTCTTCTCTCAATCCCTATCGTTCTTCAGTTGGTGTAAATTTCATAGCCAAGAGCTTCTTGTGATTTTTTATCAAATTGATGTAATAATTTTTGAACCATACCAAGTTGGTCTCATGTTTTTTTATATGATCTAATTAATACCATATAAGTGTGTAAGAAAAAAAAACTAGAGAGGGAGCGGGAGAGAAACTAAGGGAGAACGATAGAAGTTAAGGGAGAATGAGAGATCGATTGAGAAAGATAATAAGAGAGATTGAGGGAGAACGATAGGTAGAGAGAGAGAATGAGAGAAATTGGTATATAGAACGTAAATATAAAAACCAAAATCCTTTTTATTTATTTTCAAATCACATAGTCGTTGAGCAGATAAAGATGATTGTGATTGAGAGAGTGTGAGGGAGAGGAAGAGAGAGAGAGAGAGAGAGAGAGAGAGAGAGAGACTAAAAACCCTTTTTTATTTTCCAATCACTCAACATTAAAGGGCAATTTCAATATAAGCTTTTTGTTGTGTCCAACATGGATTAAGAGTCCCATGTTGGCAATATTATAATTTGAAATATAGAGCTGGTTGTTAGAGTTTTCTTGGTTTATGAACTAACTTGTAGCCTAATTTTAAATGTACAGATAGCTCCGACTATAATTTCCCTAATTTAAAACTAATCCAAAAGCAAAGCTATTTTATTATCTAGATGGTGGATCAATGATCTAACTTTTCAAAGAAATCCATGATATCATAATTGAATAATAAATATTAAAGTTTATTTTTAATCATATTGTTAATTTTCAATTTGTATCTTAACTATATGATATATCTAAAATTCAAGTAATTAATATGAAGAAAATTTTCTCACGTGCAATGCATGTGCTTAATTACTAGTACATACAAATCCACCAAGATGCAACATGATGGGTTCGATCAAGGTTCAAAGTATCGATACGATACTCCCCGTATCGAACATATTGTATCGTATCTTTTGGTCTCGATACACCTATTTACAGGTGTTTCGGGACCCTGGTTTATTTTAATAAAAAACCATTAAAAATGTCTTTAAAAATCACATTTACAAAAAATTAAAAAAAAAACATTGGTTCCGATACGCCCTCGTATCGGTTTTTAAGTACCGATACGCCCTTGCCCATACAGAAGGGCGTATCCATATTTTGAACCATGGTTCCGATCCTATTTAAAATGTACACGTGTTAAGATGAGATGTAATAGGGGCGTATCGGTACACGTTTTCATAGGAGTTAAAGGCTAAAATGAATTTCAGAGTTCATTCATGAATCTGTTTCTCTCTAACTTTCTTATAAACCAAACAGAGAATTCAGCCAAGATCGTTGTAAATCATGAAATTAATATTATAGTGTGTAGCAGAGCCTCGCAACACAACCTTGAGGGTTTTGTAGTTTTCTCCTCTCCTTCGTCATCCGTTGCGGCCGGACGTGAAGAAACAGCAATGGGAACCACCGCAGTAGAGAAGACTGCAGAAGAGCTCCGTAAAGAGATCGAAGAGCTTCACCGTCAACAGTGGGAGGTTCGTCTTCCTCTCTCTTCGTGATATTTCTTTAAGCGTTTTTTTTTTTTTTGATTTGATTTGATCAGTTTCTATGATGCAGATCACCGAGCGCCTTCGAGACCCAAGGGGACTCCGCCGAGGAGGATTGGCCGGAAATGGACCTAGAAACATTGGCGCCAACAGAGCAGGTCGTCCACGAGGATTTGTCAGACCGGTAACCACCCACCCCATCTCCTTTTTGGCTTTTCATTAGCTTCTTATGTGTAATTTGTTTAATGAGTTCCGGTTCATCGATTTCAGGCCGATAGGGTTGATTCTGAAGATCAACCTCCTCCGAAAAGACGACTATCTTCGGCTGTCGTCAAGGTACGGATGCTTCTCTGCACTTCTGGTTCCATAAAAGATGAAGCTTTGATGTTGATTTTCTTTTCTTGTGTATTTATGTAGATTGAAGATGGGGAGGTCACTGAGGATTTGGAAGGAGCGAAAGATGTGAAAGAAAATGATTCAGCTGCAGAAGATGGCAGCGATGCCAAGACTGCTACTGAGAATGAGACAGAGAAAAGGTTATCGGACCCACAACGGCCGAATCAGCGCGGTGGATTTAGGAGAGATGGTAATCGAGGAACAGCTAAGAAGGTAGAATGGAGAGTTCTCATCGTGTATTTTGTTTTCCTTTTTTCTTTCATGGAATGCTATTTGGGAACTGATATCTCATATACTTATTTTTGGGTATTTAGGATTTTGATATTCCGACACAACAGATTCCCAGGGTTTTGCCGAAAGATGAGGACCCAAGTCTGGTTAATAGGAACAAGAGAATGTTGGGTCAGCTTTTGGGGACACTGGAGGTATGTTTAGATGATCTCTGTGGTATTGTAGATTTGCGGTTCTATGCACATCTTGACAATTTAATTTTCTGAGAAACAAATAGTGTATGCTGATCCTCGTAATGTTTCTTTCCGAATGGTTGCTTTTGGTAGCTGATTATGAGATTTAGATTTTCTAGCAAGTGTATAGTGCGGATTTGGATGCATATACTCTTCATCGTTTTTTTTTAATTGATTAACAAGATCAGGAAATATGTATGACTTTCGAACTTGTGCATAATTCATACTGTCTTGTTATACTTTTTGAAGGCTCTTTGAGAAATTGAGGATAGAAACTATGAGTTGGCACCAATTACCAAAAAGAGAAACAAAGATATTTGCAACTTTGCATGACTTGGTGGAAGCTTGATATTTGAATATAAAGAATTGTGTTTTGCATGTGAAATGATGTTATGTTCAAATGTTACTTTGAGAGGAAATGGAACAATTTTACTACTTGTACTTTGGGACAGCTGCAATCTAGTTGCTAGTTCTTCTTTGTTGATGACATCCCTTGTTAATGGTTTTCATGGGGCATAGTGATAAAATTATTTTCTTTTGATTTGTTTCTATGTAGATAGAGGAAAAATTAATTAGCCCAACATTACTTTAGCTTAGCACGAAGGTTCATTTCCATGAAGAAAAGCTTCAGTGGAAGCTGGAAAACTTAACTTACCCATTAGCAGAAGTGGGAGTGAAATCACCACCTTGTACTTTGTCTAATTTGAATTGAATGGTTTATACATTTTTAGAATCTTGGAGATGTATTGGCTGAAAGCTTTGGAACTTTTCAAAGACTTTTCTTATACTGACTTCACTAGAGGATGGAGTGCCATAGCCGGATCCTCATCCTTTTTCTCCTACAGTACGGGAAAGTTGGACCCCATTGCCTTGCTTTAGAGTGAAACTGAATTTTGATGGAAGCTCTCTAGGAAACCCAGGCCTCTCAGGTATAGGGGGTGGCTTTAGAGATGAGGAGGGTAGAGTGTTGGCATTTTACTCAGGAGTCAGGCCCTTTAGGGGTTGGAGATTCCTTAAGGGCAGAAGTTTTCACCTTATTCCAAGGTCTCAGGTTGGCAAAACAATGGGGATTGCAACAATTAGAAGTGGAGGGAAATTCCAAACTGGTAATAGGATGGATACAAGCAAGAAGCTTGGGCACGCTGCTTTTCAGACAACAGCTTAGAGAAATCTTGAGCTTAGCAAGAGAGGTTGGGGTGCAGTTTGAATGGGCAAGAAGATCAGCAAATGGAATGGCTGATGCTTTAGCTAAGCAAGGAGTTAATAGGTATGAGTTGTTTTGGGCTTGTTTGTAAGTCTGATTTTGTCAAAGGGCTGTCCATCCGGCCTTTGGATGGTGACTATTGTAACCTATAACTATTATTATTAATGAAAGCTACTGTTACTCATAAAAAAAGAATCTAGGAGATGCATGTTTTTAGTTTCTAGCAACATTCGTTGTTGTAGCTTCATTTTTTTTTATCTCCATGGGGTTACACAACAGGGGTAGCCCATATTGTTGGTGAGAAGACCCCCCTGTACTATGGGGTCTGTGACAAAGACCTCCCTGTACTTTGTTTTGCGACAAAGACCCCCCCATATTATGACTATGAGACAAAGACCCCCTTCTGTTAGCCTTCCGTCCAAAATCCGCCGTTGCAATATTTTTTAATCTTCATACTACCCTTGTAATAACTATTCAGACAATTTTAACCCTCTTTTGAGTTATATGTTTTCTCACCTTATTTCTCCATTGCAATCAAGGGATTTCTCCTTCGCAACCAAGCTCCTTCGTGACCAAGTTCCGAGTTACAGTAGCAAGGGACATCTCCCTCACGAATTTCAGCCGCACGAGATTTCTTCCTCATGAGTTTCAGTCATATGCTCCGAGTTACAGTAGCAAGAGTCTTTTCCCTCACGAGTTTCAGTCGCAAGGGCGGAATACCTTGTCCTACTTCGGTGAGTGGTCAATATTAGGGGTTATCACTATTAGTATATGTTTTCACTTTGTCTGTAGTTTTATTAGGGTTATCACACCCTACAAATGAGAACACCGACAAAAATGGCCAGAAAAAAGCTCCAGCTATTGCCAACCCCGCCACCGCGTCGGGTCTTTGCTTACAGAGCTGGTTATGGCAGGATGACTTGTTGGAGTTGGAAGCAGAGATGGTAGGAGCTAAGGAAGGAGTTGTCGAATTTGGTGCGTTAGCCGTTGCAGAGGATGGGGACGAGGAGACAGAAGATGAAGCTCCGCCAAATGAAGAACTAAAACTCCATTGTTCAATGCTGTGAGTCTCTGTACTCCCCTGAGTCGAACCAGAGAAATCCACGTTCATGAAATCGTTGACGAATTGTTCCAGGTCAAGATTGAATGACAAAACCGGATCGGTTGGCCGGAGATTTGAGTATGAAACATAGATATTAAACGATCGAGTCGGGCCATCATAATCGATCCAAGCATTCACGGGATCCCTGCTTTTTAGCTCCACATTAACTGCACCCAAATCACCCACCTGAGTAGTAAGCAAGCTGTTCAGATCCAAATCCACATTTCTTTCAATAGGCCAAGGAACCCACCAATGTTGCCGACCGTCTCGTCATCCAGCGAGATTAGAAAAGTGAGTCCTTCGCCGATGGAAGATGGGTTGAGATTAGTGACTGAGAATGAGAAAAGTCGAGAAAGAAGCCGGAGGAGTCTCCGACTGGCAGAACCTGACGGGCTTACTGTACACGATCCTCTCAGCGCCGGAATTAGGGACAAACAAATTACGAGTGAGATGCAAGCTGCCATTACTCAAATGAGCATCTCTGAGAAGCTTCAGACTGTTTAGAGTTAAAGTTCCAAGATTAAATTGTGTTGATTGATAAACAACTGTGTCGTCGGAAAAACAAAGAGAGAGAAGCAAGTAAAGGCAGATGCCAAAGGGAATCTCGTCTGAAAACAACATTGCTAATCTATCCGACGATCCATTACTGCAAAAGAAAGATATTATTGTCTTTAAGCTATGTAGAACAATCGATCACAGGCGATTGGTTGACACTTCGACAGTAATGTCTTTTAATAATTTATTACTTCTCTTGTCTTTCTTTGCTTAGAACACAAGAAGACGACTAGGGGAATTCGAAGGCGAGGATCCAAAGGAATTTGACTAGACGGGGAAGGGCATCATATTGTAGCTGGGCGACATGTACTCATCTCTAACGGTTAGATATTGGGTGAAAAGGAATCCTCTCTTTTACTTGACTTCTAGTCTGGGAGAGGAGGACGTAGATTGCAGGCTGCAGACAACAGAGTTATTCTTAATTTTAGCATAGTGCTACCCACACGGACCTACGGTAACATCTTTCAATGTACAAATGGAATTAGGGGTGCTCATGGTTCGGTTAACCGAACCGTGGGGTGATTTTTCTAGATCGAACTGACCTGTGGTTCAGTATTTCGGTTTTTTTATTCATTGAAAATTAAAAAAAAGGAAAAAAAGAGATTGAGAGAGATGGGTGACTGAGTCTGAGACTAAGAGAGAAGAGACCGAGTGAGTGTCGAGTGAGAGAGAGAGAGAGAACAAAGAGTAGGTCTGGTCTGTTGGGGAAGAAGAGTCTGAGAGAGAGGGAATAGAGAGTGAGGCAGTTGTTAAGATGAACAACAGCTCTAGCCGACTGCAGAGTGCCTAGTTTCTCCTCCTTTCGGTTGACCTTCTCTTAGCATCTCTCGATCATGGCAGGACAGACGGAGAAGTCATACCTGAAGCAGCCGAAGGTGTTCCTATGTTCGATGAAAACCGGAAAGGGTGAAAACCGTTTCTGGTGTGGAAAAGCATTTTTGGGGTTCAAGACGCCGAGAGAAGCTATTGAAGTAAGTCTTGAACACCAAACTGGAAAGGTGGGATTGCTGATGGTGATTGATAAGTGGTGGTATTGGYTGCTTCAGGTTCGAACCTGTCTGCTAGTTGAGTAGAATTCATGGCAACATTTGGCTGTTGCGTATTGGCTACTTCAGGTGGTCAACATTTCGTTGGGTCTGTATTTGGATAGGACATTTTATTTCTAGCCTTCTAGGTCTCTGTCCATGCTCAATGTTCATTGGACTGCTAGTCTGAGCAGTCTTGTGCTTGAATTTGATTTAGGTAGGATAATTGTGGTCACYAGTGGTGGTTGCCGCCAAATGTTCTTTGATTCAAGCACAAGGCTGAAAAGTGAAAACCAGTCTGAGCAGTTTGGAAAGGCCAGACAGGCAAACAACCCAGACTGGCAGCAGTGACAAGTTTGATTTTCGAAGAGAGGTTGAAAATTGAACTTTTTTATTCGATTTAAAAAAAAAATTAAAAATATAATATATATAGTATTATATAAATATATTATTGTATATATATCGGTCGGTTCGGTTAATCGCCGGTTTTTAAATGGTTAACCGAAACCGAACCGAAACTATCGGTATTTTGAAAACATCGAACCGATTGGTTCGGTTAACCGATGTTTTTGTTCGATTTTGATCGGTTTGGTTTTTTGGTTTTTTTTGCTCACCCCTAGATGGAATCATGGAATTACTATCATTTATCAACCACCTGAGCCCCACATAGTGTTGCTTCGGCTATGGGCTATGGTGAGTGATGATAGTGCCTGTATTGATTGCTCCCCTTGCGACAGCGATAAGAGGCCTTTTTCTCCGGCAACAACGGAAATAGATTATCTTCTTTGCGGACGGCGACGACGACAAGATCTTTTCTAGCAACGAACACTCGCTTTCCTCTACGTCGGTGTGGCATTGGTGCGATCTCCGATAGAGAACGGACACTGGGATGGATTACACGACTACACAAGGGGTTTTGAATGGGTTTTAGGCAGTATTTAGGGTTTCAGGTAGGGTTTTACACGAGGGTTTTTAGTGGGTGTCTATTTTTGCCATTTTGAAAATGTTAACTCGATTTGTGGAGGGTATTTTCGTTAAATGACATGTTTTCTTAGCCAAGTTAATGGGGAAGGGGGTCTTTGTCTCACGGTCATAGTACGAGGGGGGGGGGTCTTTGTCACAGACCCCATAGTACAGGGGGGTCTTTGTAATTTACCCTTGTTTTTTTTTGTTTTGGAATCATATGAAAATGTGGATATTTGAAGCAGGTTATTTATGAACTTGCCTTTTGATCTATGGAAAGTGGTGGTTTAGAAGTTGGCAAGGGAAATTAGTATGTCTCTTCAAAATATGTAAGGTCAAAATTTGGTATTTAGTCATTTAAGGGTTGCTTCTATGAATTGCATCCTATGTTTACACGAGAAACTCCTCTCGTCATTGTACTCAAGATAAACATTCAATGAAGTGAGATTAGACACCTATGTGAATCAGTTGCCTTAAAATAGTCGATAGTTGACAAGAGAGATTTCTTGATGACTGAATACCCTCATAAGGTATCTGACAGGTTTTATTGTTCTTGGATGAAACCAAAATTTACAAGTGTGTAAGATGGGATCAAAGGAAGAAGTAATCAAGTATTAGAGAAGGAAGCAAGGGAAGAAATGGCATACCCCTATAATGGGGGGAGGGAAAAAGTGGAGATGAATCTCTGTATCATAAGTTGGTGCTGTTTAGGTTAAGTGGCTTGTTTTATTGGGAAGAATCCACTGTTCCAAAATTACACCTAGAGACTGATGCTGACCTGTAAATCTTGTTGGTATAGCCATGCACAACTGGAGGAAAGACTTCAGGTAAAACAACAATATCAGTTACCATGCAAAATAGAATATAATAATGGAAGATTCCCTTGCCATAAAATCACTTTTTTCACTTCATTAAGTGGCATGATGTATTGGATACCCCTTGCAGAGGCCTGCACTTTGGATGGATTGACTACTGTCATGCCTTTGAAATTTTCTCCTTTCTCCATTATATAGCTGAAAGTACCCTAAGTATTGATCCATATAGCCTGCAAAATGAGAGAATTCTTTTTCTATAAGCTTCAAAATGTCTTTCTGTTAATAGTTTTTTACAGGTCAAACAATTCTAATGCAATACGATTTGAAATATCTTTCTGTTAATAGTTTGTAGCTTCTGTTGTCTGCCCTCAAATGTGATCGAGCTGATAACATTGGAGAATGTTCATCAACTATTTCCCCATGTGCATGCATGCTTCATGTGATGGTTACTGGCTATGTTAATGATATTCCATTTTACTACTACTGTCAGTGTACTACTAATAACTTAGATCATGGGTTTTGTTCTTTCCTTGATCACCCAGCTTCACACGTGAGTTTGAATTCTTTAGCGTTATGAACAATGAAGCAATTGATAATTCCTGCATTAAAGGAATGATTAAGTTGTAAGGCAATAAAAGGCCATTCGCCAGGGGAGATATTATTTTAGAATAGAACGTTAATGGAGCAGATTTCTCTCATTTTTAAGTTCATATTTACCACAGATATCTAAGGCAGTACCAATAACCTTATTTCCAAATTTTCAGATCTTCTATCATATAAGATTATTATTGACAAGCATTGATTGTGGGCTTGTTTTATTGGTTACTGTGTTACTATTGACCTGATTTTCTTCTGTTGTTTCAGAAATTCCGGAAAGAAGACATGCATCTCTCAGCAACTGAAGCATACATGCGTCGGTCTAATTCTTTGCAAAGAGTGAGTATTTGTTAGCTTATAAACCTTTTATCACATAACAACTAATCTACAGTTAAAATGTTAAATTATTCTTCAGGTGGAAGGTTGGAAGAAAATGTAATAAACAAGTCCCCTTGTGGTAGATTTATCAGTTTTCCATCACTAAATATTCCATGTCCTTTGTTGTCATTTGTAGCTTTATTTGGTTAAGGTCTGGATACCAGGATTTGGGATCAAAGTGTCTTTTGATCCTAAAAACTTCTATGGTGTACAGGTAAAGAATGACCATTTATATGTTCTAGTAGTCAGTCTTCTCCACAAACCAAGGGTAAAATTTGGTGAATCCTGGCAAATGCTTGAAAGCATCTCAAAGGAAAATATATAGGAGATGGTTCAAATGTTACTACATAGGTCTTACCTCAAACTTGCCTACAGAAAATTTTAGAATAATGGTTCACAAAGGACAAAGCAAAGGGCCCTATCAAAACATATAAAGGCAAAATGAAGGGGAAGGACAAGAAACAATTGTATTTATGCTCATTAGTATGATCCATTTAGATGTCAGGTTACCACCCCTGTGATTGTTGCAAATTAATCTTGGCATGTCGTTCAATACTGTCCCTTGCAGCCCACCGTGTATGGTGTGTTGTGCAAGGTGCATTGTAATATTGTATTGCTGACATCCCAGTTTGCATTAAGAATGTATATTGAACTCTGATATGAATGGTCTCTGGTCCATATCCTCTATTTGGATTTTAATCGACTTCCTTGTAGTTTACCCAAAAAGAAGGGGAAATTTTTCTAAAGGAGGGGTGGGTGAACATGGTGTACGATGTTGTTCATTGGATACTAAATGTCCAGATCAGTGATCAATATTTTTGCTAGTTAATTAGCTGGAAGAATATATTTTTGGTAATAAACAAAGAAGAAAATTATTGAAGGCTAATTATCGTAGGTAATTCCAAAACAGTTGTAGACTGGGTAAGGAAAGTGAAAGGAGTCTCTTGGCACCTAAGGAATGGCCTTAAGAGGTTCAAAAGGTTCTATAGGGATATGCTGATTCAAATTTATTGGGTTAGAAGATCAGCCAACAGTTTGGCAGATGGTTTATCTAAACAAGGGGTGTAAAGACATTATGTTTTGGACCTATATGTAATATTTGGGGGTTTGGACATTCGTTGTCCTTTTTGTATCCTTCACAACTTCTGGTTGTACTGCCTTGTTTATTTTTAATGAAATCAATTCTCTGAGTTATTGATAAAAAATAAATAAATAAAGAAGAAAATTTTATTAATAAAGAGAAAAGTACATCAAATTTGGTGATCCCTTATCACCATATTTGATGTATTTCTTTTTTCTTTATTAATAAAACTTTATTATTTATTGTCAAAAAATTTCTTGCTAGCTAATTGAAGTTGTTGGGACATGGGACTTTGAATTTTGTTTTGTGGCTAATTGTTGGGTTATGCCAACTTGTAGAATATATTTTCACAAAAAAAGAGGGAAAACATCTTTCTTTAGAATGTATGTTCAATTAAACATGCAACACTTTGCCTAAACATGTTGATTTTCTCAAATTTTTTGTTACCTTCTTTGAGTTTCTACTCCTAAGCAAGGTTTCAAACTTCAATACGATATGCCCAATACGGGGTGTATCTTTAAAAGTCTGATACGAAATATGGTTGAAAATCACCAGTATCGTCTTTTTTTCCACCATATCGGACCCGTCTTGGATTGTATTGGGCCGTATCGGGGGAGTATCAGGACATATTGGGGAGTATCGACTGATACGCTACAAAAAAGATACGACCAAAACTGAAAAAAAATAAAGGGGGAAATCAAGTTTCTTTCCCCTTGAAATATGCTTGCTTTCACCCCCAAATGATTTTAAAACTCCAAACCTCATTCCTAGAGTGCTAGATATGCAGAAATTAGCAAGAAACAAGCGTGAATCCTTAACTCTTTTGAAGATTTTTCAAATTTTGAAAAAAATGGCAAAAATAGATAAGTTTTTTCAATTTTTTATACTATCATGTGATTTTTTTTTCTTGAATGTTTAAATCTATGTTGATCTACATTTCTTACATTCAAAATCACAATTTTTTCGTGTTATGAGTTGATCTATGGTTTCAGGAAGAAATTTGGGGAAAATATAAATTAAACAAAAAATTTGTGAATGTAATTTTTTCTTTGTCTATAAAGACTTAATATGTTTTCGATCTATGGATTTATCTATCATTATCAATAGAGCAATTGGAATTTCTTCTTTAGTAACTATTTTTTGAATATAATCTATAATGTTTATTTATTTTTTATTTTTATTAATTTTTGAAAGTAAAATATAAATAATAATTTCTAATTATATTTTCACTTAGATTTTGTGCCAATGCATGTTTTATGGTTGGATAGGAGAGTTGGGTTTTTCTCATCCCATAAAACTTAAGAATTATAATTTATAAATTATARTTAAGGCTGTTAAGCTAGGTTTTTTAATGAAATTATAATTAACTACATTGTATTTCTTCATAAAACCATTAAAATATATTATTTTAATGTATATATACCTCATTTAGGTATTATATTTAGTGTTATTGATGTATTTTTATTATTTATTGAAGTATTTATAGTGTTTCCATGTGTACCTATGTGTATCTTAATTTTCCTCCGATACGCACGTGTATCCAAGGTGTATCCCGATATGTCTCTTAAAAGTGCCTTTCTGTTACACTTGGCGTTTCCGATACTTTGAACCTTGCTCCTAAGTTTCTTGGGTGATGATTGAATCACTAAACTGTACTCAGGCTGAGCAAAGGGCACGTGAAGAAAGTGAAAGACTACGTCTGCAGGAGCGTGAACAAATTGCAGAAAAACGAAAGCGGGATCTGGTGTGCTTGCTTAAGCTTAGATTTGTCTATGGTTCAAGCTTGAATGTTGATGTTTAGTTCATATGATAACATAAGTGCTAGTGCTTCACTCTCTTATCTTTATGTTTTAATCTTTTCTTGTCAGACTCTGCGAGCTAGGGTTGCTGCCAAGGCAGAAGAAAAAAAGCTGGAGCTGCTGTTCCTTCAGTGGAGTGAGCACCATAAAAAGCTTTGCAATTTTCTAAGGTACATATAAATAGGAATTCAAAAAATAAAAAAAAACAGAGCATCTTCTTCTTCCTCAACTGTACAATTGATACATATTTCCCTCATTGTCATTTGTAGCTTACAAGCACAATCTGGTTGTTCGCCTGCAGGTTATTTTTAATTTTGGTCCAAAAGTATCCATATTCACAATTTTATTGAGACAAAGATAAGTTTCTGTTCGTGAGCATAATGTTGGATGCTTCCTGCTTTGCAGGATAATAGAGGAAAAAATTGTTTTATTTGGATAATTTCTCACTCATGTTTGATTGGTTTTTGGATGTACTTTTGTCAGGACTAAGACAGAACCTCCAATATATTATTTGCCTGTCAAACCATTGGATGATGATGCAACCTTGGTTGAGGAGCGTAAAGAACAGGTAGAATTAATGCCCTTTCAAACTAGATTTTCTTTTCTGCTGACAGAAGAGTAAATATGTGCTCTTTTCAACAATGGGTAAGGGGCCTTTTACGTTTTCATTAACAGTTTATAAACTAGTAGCATTATTTTCCTTATCTGACCTTACAACTATTTCTTAGCTTCTGTAAAGCTATTAGTTGGATTTTCTGCTTTCGTTGGTTAATCTAGGTAGAGATCAATGAATGCCAGCTATTAGTTGGTTAATCGCTTGGCTCTGCTTCAACAAGAACCCCCCCCCCCTCCCCCTTTCAACTTGTGCTATGCATCTTCATTATTCTTAATATAAAAGATACTTATTAAAAATAAAGAAAAATGAGATCCTCCTTCCTCTTCTTCCTCCCTCCCCATCCCCCTCTTCTTAAGGAGGCTTACACCTCCTTGTGTTCGGGAGGCTTGTGTCTCTTACGTTCTGAACTACGCCTCACACGTCTAGGTAGTGGAACGCCTTTAGACGACCAATAGCATTAATGAGGTGTGGATTGGTGTAAATAGAAGGTACTAAAAGAGCAAGGGAAAGACTAAAGAAAATATGACCTGAAGTGGTAAAAAATTATTTAAAGGCTTATAATTTGAGAGAAAAATCTGCCTTTGGAGCAAAATGGCAGAACTGGAGTCACTGGACTTGTGTAGCCAAACTCAAATAGTTAGATATAAGGCTGAGTGAAGTATATTTTAGGCTGGGTTTGCGATTAAGGCTATATAAAGAAGTCTCAGCTTCTTGCTTAACATTAGCAAACAAAGAAAAAAAAAACTTTGTTTTCTTTTTGCTCAAAAGCCAGGAAAGTCAGATACATAAAGAAATGAATCAATAATAGGGCTGGGCAATTGAATGATATTATTTACCAGATGGCAAGTAGAAAAAGTTAACAAGGGTTTCGCAGGAAATACTCTTATCTTAAGGGTGGGATTCCTTTTAACCATAAAATGTATAACTATACAATTGCTGCTATTCATAGTTGGAGGGTCTTGGGGACACATTATGGATGGCTTGTAGGTTTTTAATTGGATTAATAATAGGTGCAACTTGGGTTTCAGCTATGGTTGGAAAACTGGATAAACGTACATATGCTTTGGATATTTGTCTAACAGAGTTACAGATGGCTTCTTTCACAAAATGAGGGAAAGTTGACTGAGATGTCTTGGCCATGTGTATGAATGACCAATAGCACCAGTTAGGAATGGATGGTGCAAGTAGAAGGTTCTGAAAGAGCAAAGGAAAAGGCTAAAGAAAATATGGTCTGAAGTGGTAAAATATCATCTAAAGGCTTATAATTTTAGAGAAAATCTGCTTTTAGTAGAGCACAATGGAAGAACAGGATTTATCTGATCTCAAATAGGTGAAAATAAGGCTGAGTTAAAGTATATTTTAGGCTGGGTTTGGTATTAAGGCTATATAAAGAACTTTCAACTTCTTGCTTAAAACTTGCCAAACAAAATAGTTTCGTTTTCTTTTTTGCTCAAAAGTAGGAATGCCAGATACAGAAAGAAATGATGGAGTTTAATAGGCTATTGAAAGATGTTAGCAGGGTTTAGCAGGAAGGAAGGGTTTCCTTTTAACCATAAAATGTATATCTATACAAGTACTGCTATTCATGGTTGGAGACACATTATAGTGAAGGGATGGGATATCCATCTCATGGACGCCCAAATCTTGCGGAATGGATAGGGCGAATTTCAAAAATTTCTCCCATCTTTGCAGGGAATCGAATTCCCTATTTCAGTAAACATATTTTCAAGGATCAATCTTGAATCAAGAACCAAATCAGATTTGAACCAAAGGAAGTAGGAGGGAGGATATACCTGATACAGAGAGTCAATATCTCCTAATGGAGGTGTTCACGCCTAAGGAAGGATCCAAAATCTGCTCCCACTGAAGATGGCGGAGTGAAGGATGGAGCAGAATCAGCAACGTTCTTCCAAAAGAACTTGACCCTTCGYAAGAATCAACTGGATGGCTTGTGGGTACAGCTCCAACCAATCTTTTCCCAAAAGATTGGAATCAAGATCAAATCTTGATTTCTCCCAAGAACTGGAGATCGAACTAAAGGGAATGGCAATGACAGGAAGGAGGCGGCAGGAGAGAATTCGCAGTATGCAGGAAATCTCTCTTTCTGTGATTTCTTTGCTCTGAAGAGAATTGAACCTTAATCACACAAAAACTATATTCGCCCCTTTCTTCTTTCATAATCTTAAAGGGATCAGCTCTTAATCAGATTAGGAGTTGCTAATCCAAATCATATTTGAGTTAGAAGTCCCTTTAAGTGATAAGGGATAATCCTTATCTTATCTGCAGATCAGATCAGCCATCTCCTAATCTAATTAGGAGGTT